CAGTGTAACCGGGTCTGGGCAATTTATACTTCATAAACGCAAAGCAATTTATGTTAAGAAGCGTAATCCAATCAAATGAAACATCACACTGATACTTAAATTATGGTAAAAGTGGAATACATTGCGATGGTTTTAATTTCACGATGTTCGCGATCAAAGAATTTTCCGAGAACATTAATTCATCGTGAATATTGTTGACATATCAATGTTGTATTTATTTAAGCATTGAATTCTTATTTTGGGATGTCGTCGGTCCTATAACAGTACATGTACGTGGCCGTGCCGACAAACTGAGAAACGCCCGTTAAGCGTTGTATGATAATTTGTGGGCACGGCCAGGTGCTGTTATAGGACCGACGAGAATCCAAAATAAGAATTTAATGCTTATATTTACATACTTTTATCCATAGCTCCCTTTCTAAGGAGGAAATTCTTCAAAATCATATGTCCGTTTTAGAAATTTTTAATATTCCCAACAATCTAATTGAACTTCCCTTACTTACGTAACAATATACCCTTATAACCTGCATATAGGGTTTATGTCTCTCAGTTGATTCGATACGCAAGAGCACGCTCTACGTATGAACAATTTCTAAAACGAGGCAAGCTATTGACAAACAAGTTGATGAAACAAGGATATAAACACAGTCTCGATTGAAGTTAGCATTTTGCAAGTTTTATGGTCGATACAATGACCTTGTCAGCATATACAACCTATCATTGGGTCAAATGCTGACTGACATTTTTCATACTTATTGTTAGGCCATTACTTATACACTGAACTGTCTACGGATTTTTTCCATTTTTTCTGATCATGACAAGGAGCACACGGCGGGTGTGACCAGTCGGCAGGAGATGCTCACTCCTCCATGGCACCTGATCCCTCCTCTAAATTTTGAGGCCTGTGTTTGCTATGTTCCAAATTTGTATCGTTTAATTGGACTTTCGAGATTGAATTCTGTTGGTTATCTTCATATTTCATACTTTAATTTCCTCTCTTCATAATTGTTAATTTCATTAATCTTTATTATGAATTTGGTGCCTTTCGGAACTCATGTGCTTAATAAACGTAAGAGCCGTTGTTAGGTGGAAAGTTAAATAACGCAAATGAATATTGCTAGGGAAAAAATAACAGATTGACTTTAAACGTACAGTTATAATTTAATAGGGTAATTTTTTTTCAATTAAATTGAGCCAAAACAATATACATTCTGGTGTTCCTAGAATATTGAAAATGCATTTAGTTCTCACTGTGTATTCTACCGCGCAGTGACAAGGTTTCGTGTGTTCTATAGGAGATTGAAAGTTGTAGATTTCCAATGGATTTCATAAAGAAAAATTTTACTGAATGTCAATATTAACTATTGATAAGATTAAGATTAGTTTCCTAAGATATTATAAATAGTTCACCATAACTTTGTTTTCAAGGAAAATCGTTAAATATTATACACGTGGAATCAAAGACATTTACAATAATGAAGTAACACATTGCAGCAGTAAGAAATTTGATTTGAAGCTTCTTAATGTTGCATTTTTAAAATTAAAGTAAATGTAATACTTAGCAAAAATACAAAAGGAGCCACAAATAGTTCCATGTTGTCACCATCCAACAACATTTCAGGAAGGAATAATATCTAAAGTTATATTGTATAACATGGGTTGGGACAGTTCACGCTTTATAAACCGCGAAGTGGTTTATAAAAAAAAAAAAGCGGAAACTGTTATGAAAAAATATATAATTACTAAACAAATTTACATGTACTTCGTATAGTTGATATTTATATTCTAACTTTTTCTTCGACTCCTCTTTTAATGGTGCTGTCTTTCAACAAATTCCAACTATCTACATTATTAAAACGCTCTTACAAAAAGTCAATATTAATTTGTTAAAGATTAAAGTCATGGAGTCGGATTAGTAAATATTTGTACTACATGTAATAATCAATCAATGATTATTATTAGCTTTAGTTTAAATCTTCTAGAATAAAACAGTTGTTTTATTTTACCCTTAAAGTATGCCCTGTCGGTATTAGGAAATTACAGTATAAAAGGTCTTACATGTACATGTACCTCCAGATGTCCACAAGTCCTTGACGCCAGGCAGATGTTGGACACTCGCAGTCTCCAAGACTGGGGTTGATACTTTTCTGTGTAAATTCAAGCAATAACGGAGACCACATTTTTTTTTATATAAAAAATGATATCCCAATTCAATTCTGGTATAATTTTGGGTATATAAGATCTGTATTAATAAAAGATGTAATGTGACGTATAAAGTACAATCGTCCGTGCTATATATCTATAGCTGGATACTTATGGGTTAAGAAGTACAAGGAATTAATATCTTGTAAATGTAAGTCATGTGTATGAATCCCACTTTCCAAAGAGTTGGATTGGTGCGAAGCAAGAATGACAACTCTTGAAGAGTATAATCAAGCGTCTAAGAGAGACTTGGAATAACATATCAATCTCAGTCATTCAATTTTAAAATTTCATTCAATTTCATTCTCAGATTTGGATATAACACAAACTAATGAGTTTGTGCACACGAGCGTATGAATAACGGTCGTGTTTGTAAAGTTTCATTTTTTGTAGCAAGTACATTCAGTCTCAGAAGAACTTACACTTTAAGATGAAGCCACATCGTGCTGCCGAAAATAAATATGATATTGGACTGAAATATACATGTACACGAAATATACAGATGTCAGCTGATACTTGCATTATCAAAGAAAAAAAATCGCTATTTAGGTTTAAATGGTTCAATCTTTTATTTTTTCATGGCTCATCCTCCTGTTTTAAGACTTCAGAAGATAATTTGCTAATTTCTCTCATTGTAGAATTCTATCGATGTCTATTGATGATTACCTTGTCGGGGTCCCACATTACAGTGTATATATTGCTGTTTTGAATTGGAAATCGTGACTCTGTGTAAAAAAATCTTTTTCTCATTATTTCTCATTTGTTTGGCACCGGGGGTGATTTTCTCAATGCTGTGGAGGTAAGGCTATTTTGTTACATTGTATAACATTAAATCTCTTTGAAGAAAGGAAGAAAAAAATCCAGTTTTAAGTGGTCTTGCGCAAATTTGTGTCTGGATGAGGAAAACTATGTTGCGATGAATATTGCTAAATACTCCATTTTTAGATGAATCTTGAACGCAAATCAGTTCATAGATCGAACATTGCGTACGTTTTATTCCATATAGAATTTATACCACTTATCAAACTAAAAACTTGCCTCTGACATATTTAGCTTATTGGAGAAAACGTTTGGGGTAAATAGCGACTGTCTTTACGTTGGCATTTGGAATATGTTGCCAGGAACAATTTTGCATGATTTACTATTTTTGAAAAAGATGCTCTATCATATTATGCAAGAGTAATTGCCTGGAATATAAAATTAAATACAAATATAAAATTACAAAGAAGAGGGTATGGTTTTAGCCCTAATTTGCCCTAAAAATTTAATGTTTTCAAAAAGTTTTGAAACTGGCTTAAATATTAGTTGAGTATGTGACTGTGATAAATCAGGAAAGAATATGGCATGAAGGAGTACCATTCTGGTAATATGACGTCATTAATTTGATGCATTTCTCTATTTTAAACAGAAAAAGCCTCAAAATGACTCATTTCAAGGGTTATTTTCCTTAAGAAAATAGTATCCACAGCTGTCGCCCACTTTAATTTTTGAATATGTTGTGTTAAATTCTTTGAAAAATCACATACATGTATCTCAAAATCTTTGTGGGCGATGCCTGAAGACAATATTATCTGAATGAAAATTCCATTGAATATAGGTGTCTTCTGCAACTTTTTAAGAAAATAATGGAAAATGCACAAGTTTATGACGTCACAATTAGCATTTAGAAGGTCATGTGAGAAAAATGATTTGTATGATTTTTCTGCATGGAATTTCAATGATTCAGAAAGCATGAGTTTTAATTTTTTACATCACTTTCATTTTTTAAGAAAAACACAGGGCAAGATTTGTGTAATGGGAGTAAACCTTAGAATACCATTTTCCTTAGTGGTTCTAGAATATTTTTGAACACTCTCCTATATTTTCATGTTGAAACTGTACCTTGCTCTTACAAAATTACAAAATTACAAAATTAAAAAAAAAATTGTCAAATATGCTTTTCGAATGTGCAGCTGATACAATATAGTACACTTGCAATCTCTTTAACACAGCACAATGCCAACAAAGTGTGTGGTTGGTACAGTCAATGTAAATCTGGCGATTGCACTGTCAGGAGTTGTAATTATATCTGTAGCCTGGTATAATGTAGGTATCTCCAGTAGTTCACGCTTTCAATGCAGTTATTCATCTAGTGCTTATGAAAAATCATTTAATAGATTAATAAAATTAATAACAATGCAAGTGTATTCCAAACAGATTCTTATTACTTCTCCTGGTGAATTAGAATATTTAACATAAAGGAACTATTACACTTTGAAGACTGCATTGATTTTGACTAGTGTATTTCTGTACAAAACGACATCTTTTTTTCTACTCTTTCCTAAACGTAACACACAGGTAAATCCAGTAAATATAATTTTGGTATGATTATACTTTCAAATACCACACTAACTTCACAGATAGGCACTGGTACGTCTTATTCTGTCACCCATCTTCTTTAAACATAACGTCAAGCGGATTGATACGGTTTTGACGCGTCATTCTGTGATGTAGCAACTTAAGTTTTGCGATATAAAAATTATATTTTTTTTTCTTCTGCCCAGTTCAAAAATTAAACGTCATTGTTTCAGCCTTGAAAAAAGAAATGACATTAAACTAACACTATTACGATAAACTGAGTTTTGTGTAAATCCTTTGTGAAGTCACAATGTCCGAAAAAGGGAAAATGATAATAATTTCGATTATTGACTAATACCTTCATTGTGAATTCTTTTGCCATTCTTTACGTTAATGTGAAATTCACTTACCGATTCATTTCCTTTATCCCCTGAACTGAATAGCTATTAGTGAGCGGCACTAAAGACTCAAAGCACTGCGGCGGAAGTAGATCCATGCAATGCGACATAAAAATCTTCTCAATTTCCGCTCGTACATATAGCATCGACACAGCGGAGGCCAGCGCTATCAATTGAGCCTGGTATAAACTCTAGCAAGTAAGTCTTTAATGCTTCTATATTTAGTTTGTTCATCATTTTTGTTATAGTGTTGTAGTTATAGTGTTATAAGCTTATCAATCTTATTTCTGATATAAAAATGAAACCTAATTTTGGTTAAAAAAAATTTGAACGCCTCTCTTCACCTATTTTTGTATTTAAGTGTGTTTAGGTCATTGAAATAATGAGACTAATCTTGTACGGGAGCTGATATAATTTCAGATATTAGAGTGTAATATACAAGCATTGGAGAGATATTTTAGTATGCAATTAACTTGCAATATTGGCAACCTTAGACCAGATTTTGCACGTCATGTCGCAAAATTGCCCTGTTTTGTATAGAAATGCAATAACTGTATCATCTGAGAACACAAGTTTTACACTTCTGTCTTAATCTGTGTAATGTACTACTTTTTTGTCTTTCTAGCAAGTTTTCCATTAATTTCAGTAAATATGTTTGATATGAATCTTTTTAGAATTAGAATCTAACTTACACATCTGCTTTCATTCTGGTTACATATGTCACTTGTTAAAACTGTAACTCTAATATTAATGACTTATCCAACATCATCAACTTATCAATTGTTATTTTATTGTCTTGGCATTCTTATATTGCATAAGTGGGACAAAGGTGAAAATAGGAATGAAATATACAACGGATACGTGTTTATAAATCTGTAAATCTTATTCTGAAAAAAGTAAAAAAAATGTTCAAATTATATCACTGCAATTCTCAACCTATGACAAATACTTAGAGGCATACAAATATAAAAAAAAACGTGTGCAAGAAAAGAATCCTGCAACGTAAAGGATGCATGACTGATTTTAAAGTGTTATTTTCTACAGAACGTATGCATGGTATACTAGTAGTTGTTTGTTTTTGTTGTGAAGCTTGGGGAGTAGAATTTTATTATATGATATATACAAAAGGATTAGATACTAGTTCTTTCAATTTAGTAGATCCTTTCCTTATCATGTATACACAATGCAATAAGGAGATAATGACCAGTAATCAAGCTCAGAAATCTATTGAAACAATACAAATCGGGAGCAGAGCAAAGACGGACCTCTAAGGGGTCAGGTGCCATGGAGAAGTACATATCTCCTGTCGACCGGTCACACCGGTCGTGTGCTCCTTGTCATGATCGGGCAAACGGAAAAATCCGTAGAAAATTCAATGTGTAAATAATGGTCTAACAATTCGTATGAAAAACTTCAGTCAGCATTCGAGTTAATTATAGATTGTATTTGCCGACAACGTCATTGTATCGACCATAGAATTTGCAAAAGTTGACTTTAAACAAGGCTGTTGATATCTTTGTTTCATCAACGTGTTTGTCAGTTGTTTGCCTCGTATTAGAAATTACGTAGAGCATACTCTTGCGTATCGAATCAACTGGGAGACAAACTCCATATGCAGGTGATAAGGATATATTGCTACATAAACAAGGGAAGTTGATGATGAAAAAGTTGAAGTCATCATGTTTATCATAAAATTTTGTTGTTAGGTTATCATTAATGTCTTTTTCTAGTAAAATATCCAAATATGAAACAGATGTGTCAGACTCTGTGATATCTTTTATTTCAAGTTAACTGGGATATATCGAGTGGATATATGAATGAAAGTACACCTATTGTTAATTGATAAAACGTCGTCGATATATCTGAATGCCGAGTTGAAAGCCACAACAATTTTTTTCTTCTTCTTTGACTTCTAATGTTGAAGTTTTTTTAATTATTCGATTCTGCTTCATAGGAATACAAAAACAAATACAAATACAAAGTCGGCTAATATAGGAGGACAATTTGTTTCCATCGTAATTTCCAACAGTTTGTTGGAAGATCTGGTCTCCCAAGACTATATAAATGTTGTCAATGAGGAACTCAAGCATCCTTTTAATATCAACTTTAGAGTACTTTGGTGTAGAATCAGAGTGAATTTTAACAAAGTAATTTTGTTGATGACCAATCAAGATAAAAAATTGCAAAATCCATTTTTTTTGAAGAAGATGTTGTCTATGATTTCAAAAAGTCTAGTTTTTATTTATCGTGAGGAATGGTTTTATAAAGTGTAGAAAACTCGTACGTTTTGATGTTGTTGATTTAAAAAATTTACACCACTTCTAGAATATGCTGTACATCTAAACATTCTCCTTTACAGAGGTTATTATTTTGTAAGGAGTAAAGATAGGGGCTTGATAGAGCATTTGCTGGAACCGGCAATATATCTTTGTTTGTAAGGATTTTTATAAAGGTGGATTGAACTCATCTTGGCTGACTGGAATGTTAAAACACTTACATGTGATCTTGAAGAATTTCATCCTTAGAAAGTGATTTGTGAGTATAAACTGGATTTCCAGACGTAGAATTAAAACCAAGTACTTTTGAAATACAGTTATAATAATGAACCTTACAAACTAAGATGATATTGTTTAAAGGCCTTGTCTGCCGGAACTACATGTGTGTAACACATTTTTCAGGTTAACTTTCTAATTCTTTTATCACCTCCGATATAGTGAAAACGAAAAAATAGATGGTTTGCATATTGCCTTTTATCTTTCTAATACGGGCCTTTAGTTATATTAATTATATTTCTAAAATACTTAATCCATTCTGACAAAGTGCTCAGGTCTTCCCTTTCTTATTTACACCAACGTCTGGCATAATCTTTGACAGAATTCTTAATAGAAATGAAGTTCTATCGACAATAGAAAAGATAAGATTGGGGTTCCCTGTATTTAAGACCTTTAGAGATAAATACTTTTAGGTCATCAATTTAAACTATATGTTAATTAATTAACCGGTAATTACGTGTCCAGCGAGACTGAAGTTGAAAGAGGAAGAAGAGCAAGAACACTAAAGAAGATTTTGTTTTAGATGTTCGATATCTAGGCACTGCAAGGTTTGTTTATAATTGAAAATTAAGCATGTTACTTATGTTAACAGTATCTATATTTTGATGGCAAATTTAAGTTTAAGGAATCGACAGGTTGAATTGAAAGTATATTCCGACACACGTGGTGCATGGCTTAAACCTTTTTAAAAGACAGTTCTGTAAGATTGTTTGTTCCGGAATACTAGTTTTATTTTATAATTCTTTATTTCAAAGGAAGATTCACCATTTTTAGTCTCCCATTTGAAGTAGGAATCAATAGGTCACAAATACATGTTGCAATAAAATGAAACATTCAATAAATGTACTCACATTCAAACAAGCCATTAATTTTCTGTCCTGTATCAACTTTCATCAATCGATTTTTAATTATTACTTTTGTAACATCACACTCTTTCCTCAGCACTGAATACAAGCTAATACAAAATTAATGTTTATTAGTTTGAATACCATGCAGATAAAATACCAGACACGTTTATGCAGGAAACATTATTGCGTCTATTGCGAACACACATAAGTACATTTAAGTATAGTGATGTATTATAATGGTCATTTTGTTTCATGTCTTAGGAGAGGCAAAGATTGACCAATCAAAATCAAACAATTAAAATTCCGGCCACGCGGTGCGTCACTCTGCCTCTTCTCCCACCTACAACCTTGGAGGACGGACGTTTTTTCAATTTTGTTATTTACCTCCTTCCACCCGCCTCCGCCAAAATTTTTGGTTGTAATTTTATATTTTAAGCGTTTTCAGGCCCATTTTCATGATTTTTAAGTCTAAGTTGTAATTACTGGAAATTTGGATTATCTCCCTTTACAAAATTGGTTTATTTCTCATATTTATATTTTGTGTCTGCTAAAATTATATGCTATTGTTATTAATACTTTTGAGAATTTCAAGCAAATTATTAAACGTCACAAAGGTGGCAACACACGACAAACTGTTTTACAGACTTTTTATTCATTGAAGGAGGATAAGATATGGTGTTCTAGTGATGAGAGGATTATGGAAAGAAATAAGCAATTTAATGGGTAACGGGGCTATCAAAATACTTATTGCATTAATATAAATACATTTACATGTTACGTATGTTAATCAGAAATTTAGTTGTTTAGTTGGAAACTTCGGGGTATTGTCAAAACTTTAACCTTCTACAACATCTTTTACTCGCGAGTATGTACAGTAACTCTTTAGTTGATTGTAAAAGAAGCATATGGGTAAACATGGATAGCAAATATTTTAGCATTCTTGCTCTAGTGTGTAATTTGGAAAATTAATTATACCTTCTTTAAAGGTCATTTAAAAAGGAATAAAAATTGATTGAAAAATCCTTTTCAGCCTTTAATTGTTATTAATCGAAGGGGAAACGCAGTTTATTTCACTTACAGTCATTGATCGCATCAATATAATCCCTCCTTCTTTCTCCGTAATTACGCCGACTTCTCGGTCTAATCAGAACTTGGAAATTCCTTATTTATCAAAAGCAAAGAGGAATATATCACAAATAATATTTATTCAAATTTGTACGGATTCAAGTACGGATCAGTTGGCGATATACAAAGTATAATAAGAATCACCAAATTCTGATCTGGAGAATTAGGAATCTATAAGAACGACTCCTAAACACTAATATGCTGAAATAATTGTTCCATCAGATTTGCTAAGAATCTAGTTTTATGCAACTATGAATGCGTGATTAATATTTATTTTTCATGACTTTTTAATAGCACCAATATCATAGTCTACCTTAAAGGTTCTCTAATACAAATATGATCAGTCATTCGTCAAGTATTCAGTCAAAAGTAAAAGTTAACTTTCTCTAATTTATTTCAAGAAATACAAATGAACACACATGATACTTAAATAACCCATAGCATTATCTAATAAAAAAAAAATCATATGTTTCTTACGAGTACTAGTATATTGTCAACTAGAAAAAGCTTATCCAGGGACATTGGAAGGGGAGGGGTACCCCCAATTTTTTTTTAAATCCATTTGAAGCAGAATAAATTATAATTCACCTGTTTAAAGTAATGCTGCTAGTTTTTGTTTATTTTCGACAAAAATGACTTCCAGAATGCACCAGTACCGATAAAATGGTACGCATTTACAAGAAATGAAATTATGGTTTAGGGGAGAGGTTCTGCTCCCATACCATCTCCCGTACCCATGTCAAGAAACCTTGTGACTATTTGTGTTCATATTATACTTGGTTTACCACCACCTTTTGTCAGTTCGTCCATAGCATACCTTGATCCTTAGAAATTTTCTATCTAAAACACATTAATTACGATTTTTAATGTAATTTAACTATGGGAAGAAAATAATCATTTTTATATAAATATGTACATTGATTTACAAAGTAAATATAGATCATAATCAATCTATTAACTTTAAGTAATTCAAAATAACACACTGAACTCAAAATTGGTTTATAATCTTGGAAGTTTCTAAAATGAAAAGACCCACCAACTCATAAAAATATGCGTTTTTCAAAACGTGTTATGGGGGATAATTTGTTGTATTTTATTTATACAATTCTATCGTTAAGTCGAATGTTGAATGACGTTTTTCATAAAATTTGCTATGTCATTACTTTCATACTGAATTGTGTACGGATTTTTCAGTTTTCTCGATCATGACCAGTCGACGGGGGTTGCTTACTCCTCCATGGCACCTGATTTCACCTCTGAAGCTTTTAGAGGTCCGTGTTTGCTCTGCTCTCAATTTGTATTGTTCCAATGGAATTTTGAGCTTAATTAAGGTTCTTTATTTTCATATTTCATTTTGATGGAAATGATAATATTCAAAAAGAAAAGTTTGAGTAACTTCATAAACATTCATAAAAGATCTGGTTATCGATATAAGTCATGGATTCTTCACGATTTTCATTTGAAACCTAAAATATGCCAAATTTATGACCCCGTAGCATATCAGCAAACAACCAAACAGATACATCTGTCTATATGCAAATGGTTAACTAACGGAAAGTGGATACGAATTACCTTTATTCATTTCTAACTATCGAATCGATTCACAAGAGGTGACAGTTATATATGTATGATAATTTCATTTGGTCTGAGAATCAAATATCATGCGGGCAGTTTTGTTCTGTTATCGTGAGCTCCATTTACATCTGATTTGAAACACTGTTGTGGTTGATAATTGATATATAGCTTCTATTTAATGTCCACTGTCGGCAGTAATTAGCACTGATTTCTAATATCCATTATGCATCTTTTCTCTTTTTATAAAATATACAATTTGTTATTAAATCAAAAAGAACTGGACGCCATGAAGATTCATGTGACTGTGGTATTGCTCTTAATTTCGCTACACTATTCGTTTTATGAGGAATACTGCAATTTTGGATATCAAATTACAGCTTCCAGATTGCAAAATTATATTGAATTTGTTTTTTATCAAGCTATTTCACATAACTAGGACAAAAAATATACAGATACAACAAACTAAAGCATGCTAGAGACACACAATTTGGTGAGATGATATTAAGGAATATAAATTAACAAACTGAAAAGTAAGAATAGGATCTCTCTCTCTCTCTCTCTCTCTCTCTCTCTCTCTCTCTCTGTATTGTTAGTTCGATAATATCATCCTTTGAATAAGTAAGTTCGAAAGGAAACGTATGAAAGTCTTCTTGCCAACGGTTTAACTTGAGAATTGTTGACAAAAACTTCCTATAGCAAGAGCTTGCTGTGGAAGTGAAATTGACTCATCGACAACATCAAGGTAACCAGAACAACCCTAATAAGAAATAGTCTAGTAAACTATAGTTTACTGTAGTTATCTATAGTTTTACTGTAATATCAAAGTTTTTACTGTAGTAAATCAATGTATTTTTACTGTAAATTTCAAAATATTACATTTTTTCTCAACGATTCTTGCAATTTATTTTACATTGAAATGAAATATTACTGGTGTGTTACATATTATTTCTAAAATCTACATCATTGGTGTATAATTAAAATGCGGCCCTAAAACTCCCAAAACAAAGTTCTACAGTAAAGTTTCATAGTAAATTAAAATATCAAAGTATTTATTATTGTTAACTATTATAGAAAACCTAAGTTAACTTTAGCTAAGTTTTTTTATTGACTTTAGACATAAACAAGCATACATACACATACACAGACACACCACAGCTGGAAGGCTTAAATACAAATTTTTAGGAATATACATGAAATACGAACAAAATATGAATGCACAAAATACTATTAAAGTAATAATATAGATGACATAAATTTATCTATATATTTATGTTTTCAAAGTTTTGTTAGGGAGGAACCTGATTATGAAATTTATCTTTGTCAATAATGTGTAAAAGAGCTCTACATCAAGAACTTGTATTTGACATAAAGCTGGTTTTTATCTATAAGAGTATACAGAAATAGTAATGGTACTACGGTGATCTCGAGGCCCTGGAGCGTTTACTTAATGTTCATAAAAGTGAATTTTGATGGATCAGATATCCATTATAATAAACAATTTAAAATAATGAAAAAAATGACACATTAAAACAAAACATGAAACAAACGTGTCCATTAGTTGTGATCTCAGATTTCAACCTAATATCGGATTTATGAACGTTCTGAGGTGTGAATAATTATCTGGCTTCAGATTTATGGTATCACCAATGTCCATCTTCTTAATTACGAGCAAACATAAGACACTTTTTTGTAAGATATCTGTTCACGCTGCCCTGTGCAAGGGACAAATTTGCGACCTATCGCTATTTTCTCTCAAAACCTCTGCAAGTTTGACTTGAACTTCATCGATCTGTTAAAAGACATACAACACCCTAAGACAAAGACAGCTAACAAAACAGGATATGACTATTGGAGATCATTTGTAATATCTCTGGTTTCAGATTGGTATATATTCGGGTGTCTTTTCTCCATACAGTCAGTTGCCGATAAGGAGCAAATCCCAAAGGATGCTTTTTCTGATTCTAACGTCTACGTTTTTGTTGATGTGGACCCCTGCTGAGGGAAAGGACGTTTATATAACGGTAGGAACATTTATCATCACTGGTTTAAAACATTAATTTTACTTTAAAAGTATGCAAAATCCATTTTTTTTTAAATCTTTAAAAGGAACATAATTTTACTTATCAATATAAGCAAAATTAACAGATCAATTGATAAAAATTGTTACACTTGCTTTGCATTAGTAGAAAATTGTAAGGTAAAAATTAAAAAGGAGCAAGTGACAAGTAATAGAAGTAGTTTACTATAAAAACTTCTGATCTTTAAAAAAAATATCAGTTCTATAGAGGAAGAACATATTTTAGTTCATTAAAATGCTTTTCAGTAGTCACATGAGTCTATTTTCCATCACATATTAGTAATCTCAAACATAACAGAACCTTGATACTAGTACTACTTACTTACATAATAAGAATAATAAATAATATTTCATTTTAAAGGGGTGACTCAATAAGTGTTAACACTATTCCTTCTTGAGGCCCTCTACGTAAATTATAAAATATACATAATAAAAATTGACAAACATTCTATAGTAGTAATGTAAACACGCTATACATGAACAATACATGTAATTCTAGTCATAAAATCCACAAAAAGACTTTCAATGTTCAAAGTTTAAGTTGATAGTCGATCTTTTTTAGCTTAAAAGTGACATTCTTATGTGCAAAGGTAAATAATTCCACAGTATTGCACCAGAATATTGAAAAGAATTTTGACCTATTTTAGTTTTGAGTTTTAGAGTACACAAGTCAGAATTAGATTAAAATCTAAGATGATGGGAATTAGATGATTGATAATTGAACATTTCACACAGGTAATTTTGGACCTACACCACAAAGTGATTTATACAACAAACAAACGTTTGCGTCAGAGACGCTTTAAGAAAGAACACTATGTAATCCCGTACTTGAGCTAACAGACCTTTATTTCAAAGACTCTAAATAAATGTATATGTAAAATACAATAATGCAGATACTCTAGCCACTGTTGCTAAATTTTGATATCAAAGACTAAATAAATGTACACGTATATACATATATACTAGTACTGATGTCAGTGTCTGATGTTCACTGTACAAGTTTTGCTAGCTCAATCCGTACGTTATGGCAATGCCCCGTACGTCGATTCGATTGTATATGTACATGTACGTATTACTCCAGCGTCTTTGATGGTAAAGTTCAGTAAGCTAGAGTATTTGTTGCATCATCTTATGTTACATGTACATTTATTCAGAGTCTTTGATATTAAAGGTCAATTATAGTAGCTAGAGTATCTGCATTATTGTATTGTACATGTTTAGATATAAATTTATGTTCTGTTCGCACGATTACTGGCTTACAAAATGTCCCTTTTGTAAGCTTCTTTGAGCTGTAATGTTGCTATTATGTACTTCATATTTATGTTTCTGCAGATTAAAGATTTTTGACGTTTTTTTTTTTGCCTACGAAAACTTTATATGATTGTCTGTCTTTAGCGTTTGACATTAGTAGTTAAACTCTCAAAGTTTGACCAGCATGCCGATTTTTAGAGAACATGCAACCATTTTGATATATTGTAATTTATTGTGTTTCAGTCCATACCTGCTTAAACAAATGATAAAAGTATCGGATTTTAAAGGCATACATGTACATTTCAGAATTTATTTTAATGAAAATAAAAAAAATCTGGTAAAAAGATAATGAGTGTGTTACAAAAGAATTAACAAAGTAATACAAAGTTAAAAAAGCATTTAATAGTAAACAATACTTTTTTTGTTTAAGTTTGTGCTTATACTTTATGAGTTTTGGCTAAGATTAGGATTGACATTATAAAACTCTGTAGCTCTCTGTCCGCTAAAATGCTGTGTAATGCCCCAAAATAGTATGTCCACGAACTATTATTATAGCTACGTTTGGGGGCATTTGTTCATAACAAACACATCTAGTTTGTCTTGTTTTATTTTGATATTTGTTTTTCAACAGTTCCGTGATAAAGTGTAGTTTTAATGTATGACTGGTACAGTACAATAATTTTGCCAATAAAGGCTACATATTACATAAAATGGACTTTTGAACATAATAAGGACATTCAAAGTTCATTCCCTTTTAAGTGTCTGTACATCATACAAAAACTTTCCTTCCTGCTCATAAATACAGTACACAAAAAAGTTAACAATATGATGCTTACACTAAATATTAATATTACGTAGATATATCTACTTACATGTACAATCAAGGTAGTAAATATTTTGAATACATATATTTGTATATTTCCCTTTTTAAATGCAATGATTTCTTGTCTTGACAAGTATAGAAAAATTCAATCAAATTCAAATCAGTGTAACAATGAAAATCCACTTCTGATTTTCTGTTGAATTTTTTCCCCTGTATTTGGAATCTAAAACCATGACGCTTAACGTAGAAAAAGGTGTAAAACTATTTTTATTAAATATGTAATAATTTAATGTTCGTTTCCTTTTGAAAGAATAATCCAGGATTGTTTAAAATTTAGATTTTCTGCTATTATTTTTGTCCAGCTTGTTTTTAAAGTCGTGGGTCAGATGACGTTGTCATAAGAAATAGTTCTTAAGCACTAAACATAAAAGGTAATTATTATCGGACCGGAAGAGGGTGATCACCCGAATGGTAGTCTCCCTATTATTCCTGGAAATACGGAGAGCTAAGTTCAGTAGAAGACAAAAGGACTATATATATATATATATATATATATATATATATATATATATATATATATATATATATATATATATATATATATATATGGGGGTGTGTGGGGGTGGGGGTGTAACAGAACGATATGAAATTTATAACAAACCAAGTTCTTCGCCTAAGCTTCTTAAAAGTAAGTTTATCCAAATAAATAACAATTTAGGTTTCCCTAACGAAGTGACTTCTGCTCCTGTTTTTAAATGGTGATTATTGTTAGAACAAAATAGTATGCGGTTTGATTAAAACATTTATACAAATTCTATAAATTAACTATAAACATCAAATCAGGAAAAGATGAGGTTAAGACTATACGGGAAAAACAAAACAGTTCTTTGTAAGAAACGGGATATACGGAAAGACGGAAGAGCGAAAAATGGACTTGGCACTAAATGTCTCTTCCCATACACGGAGGGAACATATAAAAAGAAGAAAATATTGAAAAATAGGTATGAAAACACAGTTATAGTTATAGGCAATTGTTTCTTTCATGTTCTAGAGATCGAATTCCCCAGTCTGTCCCCCGCGAGCTGTGTGTGGAGATGTGTTTGAGTTTGACCGGATGAGGGATGATGGGACAGTAGAACCAGAGGTGAGACACATCACCAACTGTTTCTGTAACAACACAAGATCCTGTAACTTCAACAGAGAACACATGATCTATCAGAGCAGAACCCAGAGGTGAGGAAATGAATGTAATGGATAGTAATAAATTTATGCAATGGGATTGTGCACAAGTTCTATAAGCTTAAGTTCAATTACATGTGTTTCTCTTCGAGTGAAATTGTTTTGAAAGATGTTGCTACGATCTTTTAATTATCTTGTTTCTTCATATTTGATCGATTACTTACGAAATAAATTTTAAAATATTGAAAACTAAATATGTACTATGAATAAGTTATTTTGCAGCTTTACACTGTAATACAATTAAAAAAATCTCAATAACTACGTCATAGACACAGGGGCGGATCCAGAATTCCCAGGTGATGTTGCAAACTTTTGAAAAGGTTTAAATGCAACAGAAACTCACAATACATGTACTTGTAATTATTAGTTTAATAACATAAGTTTTATCATCGAAATTTTTAGAGGAGATGCACTCCCTTAAATCCATCAAATGTGTCAGAAATCCTTGACACGCAAACATGGAAAAAATCGAGATTAATTTTTTAACGTAAATCGTTCTTCTTGATTCTGTACCTGATTGAAATATGAGGAAGATTTCGTTTGTGAGTTAAATCACCAAAAAAATGAAAAGCTATTAATGTGGAACATATCAGATTATATTCATCATTATAAATGACAAGATAAAGAGCTAAATAGCTTTCATGTGCCTGTTCATCTAGGAGAATCATCTTGAAAATAAAAGACATCATAGGAAACCTCTCTAATGCGCAATAGTAAAAGGCGTCGGGAAAGAAAAAGTGGAAGATAATCGTCAAAGAGTGCGGTTATGTTGGCTGCAAGACATCGATCGGAACGTTCATTATTCCGCCCAACTTTGATGCTGTTTTCGGATAACAAACACAGTGATGCAAAAAATAATAATCTCTTCCCATTTATTTTCAATCAAACAATCAAAAGTCCATCTTTAAGACTATGTGCTTGGTTTGGTTCTGTCTTTTGGACTCTTCTTGAGAGTGATGTCTAGAGTGATGTCTATGCTGTATTATTAATTGAACTGGCACTGCATGTCATTAACACTTTTTTCTTCACTTTAATACAGATATCATTTTCTTTACCTTTATAAAATATATACCATTTCAATAACAAAATGTATACCATTTCCTATAGAATATAGATTATACATTACATTTGATACATCATTTTACAGCTACTGAACCCATGTTTATTCTAACTAGCAGAGGACATAGCGATAATCCTTTTAAGAGTGTAATTGACATGCTCTAAATTATCTTTACTTGAAAAATTTAATCTTTTAGTTTTATTATTGTACAAAATGTAATGTATTGATTTATTAATTTAAAGTTACCAAAATAAAAAAAAAATAATTTTCATTGCACAATGTGCACTTTCTTACAGTAGAAAAATCAAAATCGTGGTCATTTGTTTCCTTATCATTACGTGTGATATGCATGTTCATGTCTTCAATCGAGATGCATTGTCCTCAATTTACATTCATCAAATCAAGCGCTATTTTATATATATATATATATATATATATATATATATATATATATATATATATATATATATATATATATATATATATATATATATATATATATATATAAAGAGGGGACTATAAAACAACTTAAGACGTCAGGTACATTTTACGAATTCGGTTGAACAAGATATCTGAACAAACACTATTTCATTACAGTTTTATCATTTTTCTCTCTCAGTTTATAACTTGTGATGATACATTTTACTTACCAGTCGGAAATCTATCCGTAATTTTATTAATTAATGTAGAGATAATTTTTAAATGTCAAATCCTGCAAAATATACGAATTCCTAGAATTTTTTTTTGCCATTGATACTTCTTCATGGCAATTTGTCAGTCATCTGTATTAGTTCAACGCATACGTTTACTATACCTTATAAAAAAATCTTGAAATTCTAGCTAATTATTTCTATATACTTAATATCTTTAAATTTTGATACACAAAGGAAAACATTGCATTGGACCTGGAATCTGTTATGGATATTGTTGGTCATTGTTTAGATAATGTTGTTTTCGGGGAAAGAGCCAGGGGTTCTTTCTTTGAGCATTGATAAATAGATTCTGACTTCGATACATTGCCAACTATCCATGACGGGAAGAAAATGAGAATCCCCTTTCAAATGATTTTGAAGCTGCCTAATGGATTTGGACGTGATCTATTCCCTTATGTGCAATTGCCCTGTTCGCTTTGGGTTTCATTGTATAGTCACTGTGACCAATACAAGCCCTATGTAATTAAGTATTGGCATGTTAGACATTCGTATGCAATTCACTCCTGTCATAATGGATCCAACAGACCCCAAACGTGATCCTTTGTGCTGAAGTCTCCAAGATAACAAAACAAAAATATCGTCGTCCGCCAGGACTCCTTATTAATTCAGCCAAATCAAGACCAGACATGATGGAATTGCAATCTCTGTATCAGGAGAAATTCATCCATTCATGTTAAATAAACAAAGTTAACAAAAAGTAAAATTACAAATAGAAAAAAAGTCAAGTAAATCTAAGGGAAGAACAACATTTTTCGCTTAATAGTATGATTGCATTTTTGTTCTAATGACAAGTTTCAATGAGTTTCATCGATGTAGTAACACAATTGTCATTGCATTGCCTTATATGCAAAACACCACAGAAAAAGCCTGATTACATTATTTTGTGAAACAGGTTACATTGATTAGACAGCGGTATGCAGAAACAAGATACAAATTCCCTCAAATGTGACCAATTTGAGACGAGAACAATATAGGTCAAGAGTTTCCGGAACATCCTAGAAGTGAATGCATTATATCAGTATACTTGGGAATCAGGCTTTACATTTGTCACAACACAAATATAAATAACATAAACTCTTAAAAGTTTTTTTACAAGCGTTAAAGCAGGTGTCACTGTTACACGTAAAATAACCCTCACCCTCAGGCTATAAGGTGACACGTAAAAGAAAACTCGCCCTCAGGTTATAAGGTGACACGTAAAAGAACCCTCACCCTCAGGCTATAAAGTGGCACGTAAAAGAAACATCACCCTCAGGCTATAAGCGCCGAGTATATGTCATAGAGACTGGAGTAAGTCATTTTTATTTATTGCACTTAAAATTTCAAAAATGAGGTCTTTTAATGTAGATAATGGAGATTCTACATAATATAATTACGAAGGTTGTCCATAAAGTTAGTGGACAATGACGTGTTTTTCAAAATGAATTGCCCTATATAAACTCATTGTATACAAAAATTTTTGTTCTTAAAATTCAAGTCAGAATAGTTTGGTTTTGATTTGTAAAATTTGTAAAAATCGCGATCTTTAAAGGTCGCAGATAGTACGCACGGCTCAGGGTGAAAATGTCATAAACTTTGAAAATTTTCTGATTTAAATGAATATTTTCTTTATAAAATAAGTCAAAGAATCATAATCATACAATTGAATTTTAACTCTATTATCGCTGTATTATTCCCGGATTTTACGAATGTCAGGGCTTTTGCACACTCAATCCTAATCGTACCCTAATGCTAATAAAATATTAATAATATAGTAGTTTGCAACCAAAAAAGTATATAAAATATAAACATGCATGAGCATGTTTATATTTTCATATAATTATACAACGTAATATATATGTAAACAGTAAAACACTTGCAAGTATTCTCCATCTACTGTCATTTTAGTCAGAGGAAGAAATACCGATCCTTTCTATATACTTATGAACAAGCAGACAAACAGAGGGGGTCTTTGATTTGAATACACTTGAAAGAGTATTACAACTGAAGATGCCTACTAAACTTCAAGAGTTTCAAAAGTTTTTAAAAAGCCAAGTTTTTTCAATAGACAGACGTACAGGAAAAAAATATTATGACTCAGATCTTTGATTTTTTTTTTTATAAACTCATACAAATTACCGAAGTATTGTAAGTTGATTATATCAAACTAAAAGTATTGTGAGTTTATGTTGCCATATAACTTTTTAAAAAGTTGCAAACCCTCCCTAACTGGAAATCCTGCATCAGCCCCTGCGAGAGTCACAGATGAAAGGATATTCATTATAAAAATATTTTTACTTATTTGAGAATGCAATTAACTCTTCAACCTTATAACCTAAAATCTCACTTCTGGTATCATAGAGGTTGAAAATGTTGAACAAATTTGTCACTAAATAGATCAAATTTAAAGTAGATTCGTGTGTTTTTCCCATGTAAAGCATGAGTGAAATACAGGAATAGATAAGCACAAGATTCATGCCGATACTCACCTGTATTATAAATTACCCAGTATCTTCTCTCATTGCAATGTCTGCATTGATGTCTGCTGTTCTGATAACAGGGAGGTTGTGTGCGAGCCTGTCGACCTGTTTCCTAGCTGTAGTCCGGGAAATATCTCTCGTCGTATGTATGTGGACTCCATGGACTTCAACTACAAATCGTACTATGAAGTATGTATCGCAATCGGCAACAGTCTTGAGAATCTTTGCACTTTGGTAAAAAGTTTATTTTGTAGGATAATGGTTTTCTGAAAGACAAGTTTTGTGTCAGTTAACCACAATGACCTTTTTTTATTTCACCTTTCATTCTTGGCCGTCAAGATTCAAGGGGATGTGTTTCTACAAAATTTTTTGTAAATATATATATATATATATATATATATATATATATATATATATATATATATATATATATATATATATATATATATATATATTAAATTAGAATTCGGAACTGTCACTGACCATACATTAAATTCTAAAAAAAAAAAAAACAATGTTCATGAAAGAAGAAAGTGAGTACATTTTTGCTTTTAAAACTTCAATGGTGTCTACTTTTTGCCATGCTTAATAGCAATTAGAACAAAAACAAAACAAACAAACAAAAAAAAAAAACAAACAAACAAACAAATAAATAAACAAAACTATGTGTACAAAATACTGAGACGTACGGTGACTGGTATATACAATGGCTGATATAGAACTGTAGGACATGGTACATGTGTGAGAATTTCTTTTATTATTTCGTTGCCAAAGAAAAAAACAATTACTGAGGAGTAACAATAATGTTACTGCTCAAAGAGACTTTGGGTTGAATACACATACAAGGGCGGATTTTTGTTCGGATTTTTGTTCGCAAAGTTTATAAAAATATTGATAAACAGGTAAATATAGAATAGAAACACTAAATATGACTTAAATAGAAGAGTACAACCCTGATCAATAATTACTGACCATATCTAATTATCCATATGCTATTCTAAGATTTTCTCTCTTCTTTTTTAGATAAGATGCATTTGTCCTTTGAACCTAGTACCAAGTTTTCGACCCGGCGTGAAGGCTACAGTGTATCGTAACTTTCAGTTGAACGGCTTTGACAAGATATATAATTACAAGTGTAACGAGGAAGAATAATACACAAACGATAAAAAGACTAGGTGAAGGTAATAGCCAAGTCCGGGTGGGAATTCACATTAACAGATGACCAAACCATTATATTAGATGACTGTGTCTATGTGGCAGCACTGAATTATTTTAATAATAGTTCACGTTTTTTTTAATTATCCAAAACACAGAGATAATCTAAATTCATTAAACATCAAGGAATAGTAATTTGCATTTAAAGTCAATATCAACGTTTAAAGAAGGAGAGTAGCCATCCCTTATCTAGCAAGATTTACAGTGTATAACAGTCAATGGCAAAAGGAAAGAGTTTAGGTCTTCTTGAATGCTGTTGCAGAAACCTTTTCTTGAAGATGCATACAGTATTTTGATTCTCTGCGATAACTTTTTAGAAAAAAGTATTTTTCCCATATGGATGGAAAACATAATATGTTCATGTAACTTTTCAGATTCCAAAAAGCATTCTTTATTTTAATTCGCGTTTCTTCCATTTTTCAAATCTTTTTTTCTCTTTATACCCCGCTTGAAAAGTTGGAGGTATAAAGTGATTGGGGTGTCCGTCCGTATGTCCGTCAGTCAATATGTCCGAAACACTTCGAAGTATCCATCCCTTATCTGCAACTCCTCTTACACCACTAATTACAATTTAAAGAAACTTTCATCAAATTTTTATCACATAGTGGCGATATGCTGCTCCTATTTTATATTTCGATCGGGCAGATATTTGGGATTTCCCAAAATACGGACAATGTCATTCTTTTTTATTCTCCTATACCACTGAATAAAATCAAATGAGACTTTCACAGAATCTTCATTAGATAATGCCATTGTGCATCTCCTATTTTGGTAGGACATATATTTGGGGTTTCCCATAGCAAAACATCGACAATGTAATTCTTTCTATAATACGGGTGGTACCCATATCTTATCCACAATTTCTCCTATACCGGTGAATAAAATGTATTGAAACTTTCATGGATTCTTTATTTCATAGTGCCATTGTGACCTCTTTTTTACGTTTCGATCAGACAGGTTTTGGGGAAATTTTCTTCGCAAAACATGCACACTTTCATTCTTTATATAATATTGGAGGTACCCATATGCAGCTCCTCCCATACCACTGAATTAAATTTAATGAGAATTTATGACATAGTGAGACTTCCTATTTTTATATTATGATTGGACAGGTATTTGGGGTTTCCTATAGCACAAGTTGGAGTTCGCTATTATACTCTTGTGGGAGCGGGGGATTTTATTTTGTGAGCTCAGTGCTCAAAGTACCTTTAGTTTCAATTTGTACTTTAAATCCCTATATTTCCAAGCTTATAGTGATTAAAGTAAAGGTATAAATATGGTATCGGTTTTGTCACACAATCTTTTTTTCACTTGTAGTATGTACACGATAGAATCTAATTACGATTTGTGGTATGATGATCTTTAGTTGATATGTGTTTGAATCTTGATTAGACAAAAAAGAAAAACAACACATTTTAATCCAAAAGATTAAAATAAGTTTTCTAAGTTACACAAGTTTCAATACTCTCTGTAACAGAGAAATTAACCAGAGGTGCTGTGAGTACTGAACTAAAAAAAGATACTCCCACTCTCATATGCTATAACGGTAAAGTATACTTCTTGGCAGTATGTTACTGAGATTCTATAAAAGCTCCTCTGAATTTTGTTCAGTGGTTTAGGCGAATTTGCGTTAACAAAATTAGTGCCTCCTTTATCGAGTTTAATGGGTTAGTCAATGCAATGAGAAACCCCTAATATCTGTCCCATTAGAAAATAAAATAGGAGGTGCACAATGGCACTATGAAATAAAGATTCTGTGAAAATCTCAAAAAATTTTATCCAGTGGTACTGAAGGAGATGCGGATAAGAGATAAGAACCCCTTACGTTGAGTAAAGAATGTCAAAGTTCGTTTTTTGCTATGGGAAACCCTATATATCTGTCCAATCTAAATGAAAAAAGGTCACAATTGCAATATGTAATGAAGATTCTGTGAAATTCTCATAAATCTTTATTCAGTGATAAACTAGAAGTTGCGGATAAGGGATGCTACCCCAAAGGTACAGATCTATGGACGTACAGACGGACACTGCTGTCGAAATATAACCCCCCCCCCCATACGCTTTTCAAGCAGGGGTATAATAACAATGTTCTTTATGTCTGTGGTCGAGCGATGCTGATGGAAACGCACACTGCAAGGACTCTAGAGGAAATAAAAACATTTTTTGACAATAAAGAGAGGTGATATTTCTTTGGATTTCAACCCATCAAATCTGTGTGATAAATTTCTGTATAGGTTTTTTATCATACAGAGGATCCCCACCCACATTAAAAAGTTAAATATCGAATGCATGCTTCTCGGAGAACATTTTTAAGTTAAAGACTATAATAAGAATGACGTGCCCGATCCTAATTATTACTTTTCTAGTGTATGATGGGTGTTACACGCCCTGTCTGTCCTGATTGGTTTCACTAGAAAACCAGTTTATCAACGTACCATATAATTACCGCGTTCTTTAGGGACGCGAAATGAGCACTATCAAAACAAAAAAACACTAATGAACGACTGTGGCCTTATATTTCAGATGAATGTTATACAGTTAAATTGCATTATTTATCAAAGACAAAGGCATTGAGGAAAGTATCAGTATTTCCTTTTTTAGCTAATTATTGGTTCCTGTGTGTTGGTCGTTTTTCTTACTTATTTTGTAGCTTTACATTAGCTTTACGTTCTTGAAAATAAATATAATTCGAATAAATAAGCAAGTCTTTATGTAAGTCATCCTTTTTGATGTTCTGAATGAGATGAAATACATTATATGTAATTCGTTAAGTACAGATGGCATAATACAAGAAATATAGAGGCGATATTGTTTAGTACAGTATATGGAAAATTTGCAAGGCCGGGATGGATCTTATCCGAAAAGATCGGCTTAGATTAAAAGGAACATCTGTTCGCGTTTAATTGATTATTAATTTATTATAGCATAAATTAAATTCAGCTAACGCGCTTCATAAACTATGCCAGCGTAAATTTAAAGCGTCCTAATTTCAAAAATTAAATGTATTTCTTAAATGAGGTCACACGGTAGCCTACTTTTGGGTTGCTACATATACAAGTTGTATCAACTGACAAGATATGATGTCCTAATAATGTTTCAAAGTGTGTTTGATATGATTAGAATACAATCTGACAATAAATAGCCATAAAATTCCAATTGGGTTGCAATGCACCCCCGCCCTAAGATACATCAACTGATTCTCAGTTTAACCCAGTGCCAGCTATGATCCAGACACTCTGAATTTCCATAAAATTCATAAACTACCATAAAATTCATAAACTACCACAAAATTAAACTAGAGTGTTGCACGGAACGCATGTGTTGCCTGCTTTGTAGCTCATTAAATGTGAAAAGTTAGCTATTTATTTATTACTAGCATGATAGTTCATGCAGAAAAAGGCATCCACGGATAGTATAAAATTGAATCTGACAATCAAAGAAAATATGATTCCCAACCCTCAATTGAATAAGTAAATCGAAATTAAATTAATAATTTATTATTTATCATTTTACATGTATAAATACGTGTTTCAAAGTCTTTACTCCAATTGTCAGTCTACAAGATCCATTGTAGGTTACCGATCTCGATGTATTTTCATAGTATTTAAATATCAGTTTGTGTGGTAACTGAATATCATACAGTTTCAAAAGTACACTATCATGAGCTCATAAAAGTATAAATACTTATTATCAACACTCCACCTCTCAGAATTCAAATGACATAAGTTAATTTAAAATTTCCGCGGTATATTTTGCAAAGTAGGTCAAGGTCAAGGCAAAGTGGATTGTAACGCTGGTATTTTTCATAATGTTTTATGACTATCAGTGCACATGCTAAATAGCATAGACTTACCTCTTAAATGTCAAAAATATGCTGTATATTGGACTATTAACTATTTTGTAAAGTAGGTCAAGGGTCATGAGGTCGGTAACCATGGCATTGCACAAAAGCCATAGTGCCAAGAATTATATGTGCAAAATATCAAATCCCTATCTCTTACAGTTCTTGAGATACAAGTTGTGACAGACAGACGGACAGCTAAACAAACGCTGGGTAAAGTGATCCCTAAGTGCAGCTCTACTCTGCAGGCGACACAAAAATGACACTCTTGGCTTTGCCTTCCACCCATTCCATGAACTGATTAGGGTCCCACAATGTGAAAGATACAACCCGGAACATGAAAAGGATAACAGAGGGACAAACAGACAGTCAATACCATTTGAGACCTGAGCGTCGATTTCGTGAATTTCAGTACATTAAATTACAAATATATTTCATATGTAAGATATGTTTTGTTTGAGTGTGTAATGAATTCTTTTTTTTTTTCCATTAGGTGGCAAAAACTAGGGGAGTTGTCGTCAAACATGATGGACATTTCCAGATTTTGGTGAAAATGATGGCAATTTTTGTAAACTTAGTTTTGTTGTTGACATTTTATTGTTCAATTTCATTTGTGTACATATGACCACGCTATTTCCAGCTGTACTATACATAAGAGTGGTATTGCTAAGGATCACTTTTTTGTATTCACATTCCTCTACAACATATGTAAGTATTTCTACAGGCTAATCTAATTTTAAATGCTTTTTAAACGGAAAGATTATTTTGAGATTAATCTTTCTCATAGATTATCATTTGAAATGCTTTTTACATGAACTTGAAGAAAATTTTATTTCCATTGAAATATGGGAACTGGTCTTCGAATATTTTAATAATTTAAAACTTATCCTATTTTATCTGCATTATGTCCACATTTTATTTTCTGTATCAATAATCATTATCAACATCAAAGCAAAAACTTAAACATTCTAGAGTTGTTATTTTTCCATATCGTGGTGAAAGCAATCCAAAGCGTAGCGACGCAAACTGAAAGAATTCATTTTGGACGTTGTCAATCTAATTTTTTCATTCGTATAATTATTATCTATCGGCTTGGTTACAGTCAGATCACTAAATGTTTTTGATATATTACGACCTCTGAATCAGATTATTGAAAGATTTTTATACTCTGCCAAAACGCACTGAATTTATGCCTCCTTTCTGCAAAAATAATTATCTGTATGCAAGACAATTATGTAAGCATCCAACTTATCTCTGTCAACTTGAGAGATGAATATGCTTCATGTAACAAGCAATATAAAATTATTATAAACCCAAATCTTTTACAGAATGCAGAGTTTGTTACCCAATGCATTTTTCTGTCAAGAGGCAACGAAGCTGATAGTTGTTAGGATGCAACATAAATATGTAGATGAAATGTTCAGATAACGAACAGTTATCATGCTCAGAAGTTCATTTAAACAATACAAATTGTGAAGATCTAACACGGTCCTCTAAAAACAAAGGAGGGATCAAGTGTCATGGAGCAGTAAGCATCCTTTGTCGACCAGTTACATATACCCCTGGTCATGATCGGATAAACGAAAAATCTTTCAGTGTAAAAATAATGGTCTAACAATATCAATAGATATCTAAATACTTTCCTAACTCTCCATCCTGAACAATGAAATATATTGCATGTTGGCATAATTTAATTTCATGCATATCGACATAAGTTACTGGTGATAAGTATTATTACATGTATCATTCTTGAATATTGAACATTAAGTTACATCTTGCAAGAGAGATGTCCTTTAAAAAAAGATCAAAAAGGAAAAACTGCATCTTCACAGTACATACTTTGAAAACTTAGATCATACAAAGTATTGGGTCTTGTAAATTAACAGTTTTCAAGAAAAAAAATCAGATGAGACTTTACAAAAATACTCTGCAAATTTTATATTCATTTCATCATAAAACACAGAATTATCATTAAAAATATTATTTACAGAAAGATAAATGCTAATATGAAGTTGGGGTTATCATTTTACTCCCATATAGTCACGTATCAACACTATGTTGAGATTTAAAAAAAAAAGAAAAAAAACGGAAAACCAATTTCGGATAAATAAAATTCAAAGCAATTATGCATCTGTCAAAACATGGTCAACAAAAATCGTGTATTAGCCAGATTGAAAGAATTTTTTTAGATTAAAATCTATGAGAATCTCTGGCCTTCTCTTTGAGTAATTTTTATATTTTCAAATCCTAATTCAGAACCAAAGTGCTAACTTTAAGATTCAATGAAAGGTACAAAAAATTGTAAATTAAACATACAGTTATTGAAAAAAGAAAATCGTTTTAAATTGAGGTGAAATTAGGTCATATAAAATTTCATTTCCTTTAATATGTTTTGAAATCTTCCGTATATTACGGAAATAATTTAACTTACTTAAATCCTAGACACTGGCATCAGGATAAAACAAAACGTGCATTGTTCATATATTTCATATAAAGTCTCTACCGGTTTGAATTCATTTGTCTATCAATCTGACTTAATTGTACTCTTTTTGTCTTAAGTTTGCAATTTACAGAATTATATGACTTGATATTTTTAAATCTTGTACAAAAGTTGATGAAAGAAGACTAAAAATGAGGAAGGATTGGTATTTCCAAAGAATTCAATGTATTCCCAGTAACCAAAGCAACAGAAACGTATATATATTCTCTCTCTTCAAGGATATCATTGATCTGTTCTGTTTTTAGTAGTAATTGTAATTGCAACCAAGTTCATTTGAATCAAAGAACGATAAATATGATTTTGATCTAAATGTAGACTTTAGGTGTGCCGGGTTTCATTGAAATAAGACCTCTCATGTTACCGTAGATAGCGTAGCATTTTGAAATAACTATACCCTTCATCCAATTAAATCCAAAACAAAACGAAATACAAAGTATCGGTACTGTTGTTGTCAGTTTGTATACAAGGTAATATTGAAATCGTACTTAAACTGTAGGGAGAGTAGACTCTGATTATTTTTTTTAATCATCCAAACACTTCTTTTCAAAAAAAAAAAAAAAAAAACACTTTAAAGAATTATGTATATGGCGATATAGTCTATCAATGTTCCGTGTTTTACTGAAATTGGACAAAAACAGTGGAAAGGGTATAAATGAAGTAGCCATGGCATTTCAATTCAAAAGTCGACGAATTGAATGACAGACCTCGTGATCTTTCATTGTGTGTCGAATTTTACTGAAATCAGACTAACCTTAAACGAGGAAAAAGTATTTTGAATGAATTTTACTGATGCAACCTTAATAATCATGACAAAACTATCAAAAACCGATATCCAGAATTATGCATCTTTGTCTGCTTGATTTCTGATTTTGTATCATGTATTGAAAATCGGATAAAACTTAAAGAGAAGTAATGTTTCAATTATTTACAAATGGAGAGACAGACAAACAATGGACACTTAATCTACTATCACAGAAGCTCTTCTGGTCGATCCTCGTCCAGTAAAGGTAAGGCCAAGGTACACAGTCCGACAAAAAAAATCACCTACCACAAACATGAACGTAATATATTTTCTACCTCTTGGTGCTGTAAATGGAGAGAACTTTGAAGAATTATTTGGATTCTAGCCTCAGATTTCAAAATTCCAAATCGCAATAGAGTAAGATCACTGAAGGTCATGTACATGTATTTAAAGAAACAGCTTTGTGCCTAATTTACTGCTGTTTATTCATATTTTATGTCAATTATATCATTTAACTTTTTTCTAGATATCGTTTAATGAATTAGCTGGAACTGGACACGTGTAAATGGTCTCGGATGATGGATCAACGACATGTAATTAGAGAGAACAAGCGAAATAATTTGAAAAAACTTATTTAGATAACATATTTGCAAAACAAATAAATTTGAAAAAATCAAATATATATTAAGTTAATATTTTTTTCTAAGTAAATGTTGATTCGAAAACACAAAGTATGTGATGGCAGCGTGGAATAAATATTGTACCAGTTTGGAAATGACAAAACCTTGACACAAACCAAAAAAAAAAAACTATTTTAATGGGTGCTTGACTATCGTTCGATAACGCATCCGACTCTTCGACTAAGCTGTTCGAGTATAATTGATATATCCCTAATAAAAACATAAACAAACACTCTGGTTTGTGGTCATTTAGCAGACATTTTGCAAACTAGACTTAAATCTGATAAATTCTGCAAATTCTATTTTGACTAAATCAACTTCATAAAAAACACCCGTGATTAACGAAAGAATAGTTCGGAACGATTTATTCCTTTTCATGAAATATTGAAACAGGAAGAGAAAAATGTACAGGTTACAACTGGAAGTAGATACTTGAGTGCTCTTCCAGTTTAAGCATTTTATTTTTGTATTTAATAAGGAAATTCCTTTTATTTTACAATAAAATTGTGTGAACGTAGTTTGAGATGACCATACACTGATATAATATTCTACCTTTCGAAGTTGTTATAATAATGAGTTGTTTTATATACCACTAGGAAAATTGTTTAACTTACTGACTATGATATAAGATATCCAGAGGAAAAGAAGAAACATTCTGAAATGTGAAAGGAGCATTGTGATCATCGTTCTTTATCCATGCATATAATTAACAGTATTGTGATTTGAGACCCCTTTATTAATTTCGAAGATAACTTGCTTATCGAATCTAAACACCACTGGAAGTGCAGAGTCTCTGTTTCTCAAAATCAACAGAGTTTATCAGCCAGACTTTTGGTGTCAAAGATCAAAAATTGACTGGTATGATGACAACGAAATGGTAATTACCTTCAGTTTATTCTTTCACATAATCGGTTTGAACTTTATGGAAGCTTCGTCAAATGTTTTCTTTAATTTGCAGTCAGGGCCATAATGAATTTGTACATGTTATAGTGTAATTTATATAAATATTCATGAAGAGATAAACTCGTTACGTATAAATATTAACATCAGCCAAAATACATATTTCACAAATACATGTATGTAACGATAATTCTTTTTCCTCTGCTTTACATGTCAATAAAATATGCTGATTACCGTTAGTTAACTCTCTCAACCAAAAAAATTATTTTTAAAAAAAGGAGGAAGAGGATAACCAGAAAATGGTATAGAATAATCAGGTACTTGAACATGGTAACAAAGGTTCTTGATTCGAACAGGAAACTAAAGTACTCAGTACTTCGCGTTATATATTATGCCCATTCAAACAAACAAGTACTAGAGTATAATTGTAGGTACCTGTTGGAACATTTAAATTACTCGATATACAAGTAAATGACATATATATGTACAATAAATTAGGAATAACCAATTGTGCCATCCAGACTCTAATGTTACAGGCATAAATGAAAAAAGAAAGGCACCTATACTACATTAAGTAGGAAATACGTACAGTGACATTAGCACTAAAAATATAAGGTTTATTTTCATTCTTAATTGTTTTCTTGCAAAAAAAAAAAATGTATTAAATACTATGTTGTGTTTATATCTCAGTGGTTACATGTGTGTGTAGTGTTTTTCCAAAAATTAAAAAAAGCTACCATAGTTTATCTATGGTAGCTTTTTTTAATTTTTGGAAAAAACACTATAAAGTACTTTATTGTAAAGTAAAAGTACAAAATACATGTTTCCTGAAACAGATTAAGACTCGTACATTAAGTAGTTTATTAAGAGGATACCACTTCTTACATTATAGCTTTTTCTACTCACGTGGAAGTAGTCCTGAACTAGGTGATTGAAAGGAATTTATTTTAAGAGATAAATTTCCTTTTCTTAATATCAGTAATAAAATGCTTTTCATATAATTTTTTTTTCAATTCTGCTTACATACGTTAGTTTATCGTAAATATTATTTAAAAAGTACTGAAAATGATAATGAGTTCTTTTAAGAATTTATTCCTGTAATTTTACATGTATGATGTTCGTTAAAGAACCAGTATAAAGAGTTCAGATTTTTCTTTCAATGGTTTTATGAATCTCAATTGGTATATTTTTGTATGGGGTCGGTTTAAAAGTAAATTTAATGGTTCGACGACAGTGATTACTTCATTAGAGGAAATTCATTGATTTCAATTCTACACCTATGATTTACAACGAAAGCTTACACATCTGAAGCAAATAATTCTGTTTGAAATATGACAAGTTTTCATAATAAAGGTACATAAGCTAGACTCTCAATATCATACTCAGTCAATCTCCAAAAATTAATTTTAGCAAATGTTTAAAATTGCTTTAATTTTTGATTTTTAATGTTTAGGCTCTAGATATTCTGCAGTAGCAAATTGTAGTTTTTTCAATATAATTTTCCCAGAAGTTATCTTTCTTTGTTTTTTTTTATTTTTACATGCTGCAACGTCTCTACAAACACAATTTCAACATTATACGGTTATTATGGGTAAAGTTTTTAAAAAACAACTTAACAGGCATTCTATATAATGCGTGTTTTTTCAAAAAACGATTAATTACACGCAACCCCTTTTCTTCATCCATTGACTCACAATAATAAAAAATTATATACTTACTTAACAAGAACATACAAGGAAATATAAAATGAGCGAGAAGCAGATAAAGTACATTTAGAGAGGACGCGTGTCACAACGTTTTACCAGACCTTACTGATGTAAATCAAACCTCCAGTCACGACTACAATTCAAGGTTCATACTGAGTTTAATTTTACATCATGATGAACTTGATTTGAACTGCACAGATTCCTAAAAAAACACAAAACATTATTCGAATAAGAATATGTAGTATATATGTCATCTTCTCGTTGGTTAAATTCAATGTCATTAAGCAAATTTAGATGGAAGATTCAATATGTCAAACGTATTTATTGTGAATGATTAATTACAAAATGTTAACTTCAAAAGAGAGAGTTTACCTCATATATAAACTATTACATGATGATACGCTAATTTACTTAGTGTGTTCTTTGCTTGTCTCCAAGAGATACACTTTGTGTCTGAAGCAATTGTTTTAGGAAGTAGCTTTGCTTTTCTCCTAAAAAAAAAAAATACCTTTTACACATAAGATTTCACATTTCTTTTATATTTTTCAATTTTTTTTCTCGTTTTTTTGTCATTTTATATAAACCTAAGATAACAAAACGAAAGATGTCAGATTCGACTCTAAAATTGAAAAGTTTCATACAGTTTTGGGTCAATATTTGAAATACATAAGTGGGGGCACTTATGCCCTCATGCCTAGCAGGAACATACCATGTAAGCTCTAGTGCGGATTTTCAAGCTCTTCTAGCCAAGAACAGCAGTCCTCAAATTTCCTTTAATTAATTTTACTTTTGTTCAATTGTTGCGCTTTCAAACTACAAAAGATATTGACATATTTTTTTCTCAAAATCTGTAGAGGATTAAATCCACCATACCAATGTTTGACAATAACTTTTGATACCCCTTTTCTATTACCCTGTAACACCCGTGACAAAAAAATCATCTGCAGTTATATAAACTTTCTAAATTAAAGGAATTTACTTGGTGCATTTATGTAATAGAGCTCAATATTCATGATCAGATGAAAAGAACTATCATATGCAAGGAATTCCATGAAGCATAGATTAAGTTTTTAATATGCACCTGAAGCACATCTCGAGTTACAACAGAAGTCAATGGTTTTGTCAATTTTTTGTTTCAACTCTTCAAAAGCAACAGCGTAATTCCCAAGCTTAAAAGCAGGCATCAACATTGAACTTGGACCAAGATTATTCTTTTTCTTTGTTTGTTTGTTTTTTAACGCCCTTCTCGAGAATTTTTCACTTATGGAGACGCCACCACTTGCCGGTGGAATTTAAGGCTGCAAATTTGGACGTATACTCGTCACTCAGGGCCATTGAGCAGTGAGGGATCTTTTTTTGTGCCTACTGCGACACGGGACCTCGGTTTATACAGTCTCATCCGAAGGAACGGTCTCCTTATTCTACAGTGGGATTCGAACCCGCGACGTAAGGATCAACTCCTTATCCCGCGATTCTAGAGCAAACGCTCTAACCACTGCGCCACGCGGGCGACGCCCAAGAATAGAAATTAGTAAAAAGTGCATGAAATTAGTTAAAGGAAACACATGTTACAATAAAAATAAAACATCGTATCACGATTTCAAGTTAAGTCTACTTTGGCCTTGGTAATCGGGTTTCTAAAGCAACATTTTGCAAATGAGAAAATGCAGTTTTCAAAAAATCGTTTTATGCAGCAACCTTACTTTTTCTTCTGAAAACAAATTTTCTATTTTTTACATCAGCAATCATTCATTCTATATTCTTCAACTTTTTCTCAATTTTCCTTCATTATATAAACTGCAGTTAACAACCTATATTATATTCTACGAGTTATTGTAAAATTACTTATTTTCGAGGGAATTAATTTTCGAGGTTTGAGAAAAAAAAGTTTCGTGGTTGAAGACTTAAATTAATACTTAGTTTTTAATTTAATCATTTCGTGGAGGACGTAAATTTGTGGGTCTCTTTATACCAAAACAACAACGAAAATTTAACCCCTAGTCCCCTACGGTAATAAATTTCACAGTATATAAAGCGCAATAAGATGTTTGATTTTCATTTGTAACATTTGTAACAAATTTCAAGTATTTTTCGCCAATTTCTATCCTTGGGACAATTTCAATTGATGCCTGCATTCAAGCTCGGGAATTTCTCTGTTCGTTTTGAAGAAGTTCAAACAAAAATTAGACGAAATATTTGACCTCCGTCGTTAATCCTGCTGTGCGTTAAATGAATGGTAGGGAAAATTCAATTTATTCTCCATAGAATTCCTTGGATATGTATGTTCTTTCAAATGCTCGTAAGTATTGAACATAGGAGAATAAATGCACAAAGAAGATTCCATGAACTGTTATCCTTTAATTTTGTACAGTACATAATTATACATATCAGTTTGTCGCCGATATTACAGGATTAAAGAAAAGGGCTACTCTAAAGTCATTACCAAACATCGGTGTGGAGGGTGTGATTTTGTTCACAGATTTTATAGAAACTCAATATCTTTTGTGGTTTAAGAACGCAACAGTTAAACAAAAGAAACAATTAATCAAAAGATGCATGAGGACTGCTGAGTTTGGTGAGTAGGACATGAAATCCGCACCAGAGCATACGTGGTATGTCTCTGCTAGGCATAAAGGAAATTGCCTAATCAGGCATGCATTAAAATGTCATCAAGAAAAAAGCTTCAGAGTTCAGGTGTAGTCACATCTGAACTCTACATATACAGTAAAACCGAGAAGATTATGAAATTGCGTGACCTTGATGCAGAGATTCAATCATTATCCAAATGAGAAAATACAATTAATCGTATGTTACGATTATCATCTCCATAAACTGAAATATACATTATGTAAGAAAGTTTTCGCAATAGTTTGGTGACCAAATACATGTTCTTGAGAAGATTCTCAATCACTGTATTATGGCAAGAATAGTCAGAAGCCCTGTTTTGATGTAATCAACTAATAGGTATATATTGCTACATGTAATTGTATTAATTAGGGAAACCGTTAAATTTCCCCAGACAGCGCTCACCTACTCCCACCCAAATGGGACCAAATGGTACCCTCATTCCTTACAAATTTCATTCATTTGTGCAAGGCTTGCATGCAGTTCTACACTCAACATTCAAGAGAAATTCTTTGGAAAACATCAAGCTAGGAAAAAACGACGAGGTTTTGCTGCATAAGAATTAGACAATGGGAATTCTTTAAATATTCACATAAGAGCTTTCACATACTTTAGGAAGAATCCAGGCTTTGTTTATTTATTACAA